TGGCCTAATGGATAAGGCGTTGGATTCCGAATCCAAAGATTGTGGGTTCGAGTCCCACCAGGAGCAGTATTTTATCATACTGCTCTGTTTCTTATTACATATTTACTGTTTAAACTTTTGTGTGAGACAAAGGCATGTGGAAAATAAATAAATTTGTGCAGCTCCTGTGGCTTAATGGTTATAACATTGTATTCGATATCCAATGATCGTGCGGTCGAATTCCGCCAGGAGCTCTATTTTAAACTGTGTTACTCTTTTTCTTATTATTTATTTACAATTCAATTGTTTATGATAAGTTTTGTTTAGTTTTTATTAACGTCGCACAGAAGCAACACAAGGACTATTACAAGGACATCGTAATTTTGACACTCGGTCAGGTGACGAGGACGACATCTGAGCTGACACCCCCCTCTCCTAACTTCCACACCACGCCAACCGGTATTTATGTTAACAATGTCATCCGAAAAATAAGATGTGTTTCGCTGCTCCAGTTTCATAGTAGATAAAGCATTAGATTCCGAATCTAAATATTGTTGTTTCGTGTTCCACTAAGATTTCGGGTTTATATTTAGACCATATTGTTGTTACTTTTACATTCATTTATTATATTAGATTACGAAACTCTAGATTAGGGATTCGAATCATATTCATCCTGATGTTTGATCAGCTTTACTTTTTTCTATTACATTTTTAGAGTTTAAACTTATTAATAAAGTTTAACTTATCTAACTATTATTTTTATTATAATGACGTTTAAACTTATTTACATTTAATAATGGATAACACGATTTCTGCCGATCCTTAAGGTGTGGTATATAGTGTGGTATAAGCTAAGGGGAACCCTCTATTGAGACATGCCTGAGGAGTTTTACATATATATATATATATATATATATAATCCCTTATGCCGTATTTATACATCCAATATTGCGTTTTGATAATGTGTGCTTATGAAAATCAATGAGCAATACGTCTCAAAAAGTAATCAAAAAGTATAAGACATAAGAATTATTTTTGAAAAGGAAATAATATAACATATTATGAAACGGGACAACATATGGCTATTGAAAATATGTTTCATACAAAAAATAATGTGGCAAAACAAATTTATTATTTCATGAATTATCAAATAAGAAACTGAAAATAGTATAGTTATTAAAGTTTTCCATTTATTTAAATGAAAGATTAAATAATGAACGAAACTGAAAACTCTTTTGCCAATCGAATGAACAAAATACCATGTGTATTTTTGCATTAAATCATAGGTTTCTACAAAAACAATAATATGAGTGATTTTGCTCTTTTTCTTGTATAATGCTCCAAATTAAGGAAAGAAAAGAAGGGATTATTTCTGACGCTCTATAAAAATAAGGAAAAACGAGAAATTAAAATATTACCTTGAGTAACGGATTAAAATTTTTACAAATAAAGGAGATTGAATTTTATGAAAATCATTTTTTTTAGTATTTTCATCAGGCATTCAAAAATAAAATTATCTAAAGTAGTTTTTCCATCAACAATACTTTGCTATTTTAACATTTGAATGTTTGAACAACGAACGAGTCGTGGAACTCGATAATTTTTAAATGAAGCCTGATTATTCATTTATTGAGATATATGGGATTTTGAAATTAAAAATCGAATTTCATAATTGCGACTAAATATATATAATTTGGTATAAAAAACTCTAAATTTGAAATTAACTTTTATTCATTATATCTGCATATGTGGTATATAATTTTCAAAGGATATTTTTAATACAGAATCTTTAAGAGTCATTTAAGATGCATTACATCCACAATGCACCTCGATATATACGAGAAACCTATCAATATTAGAGCTGAGAAACACGCGGGACTTATGTGGCCCGCCTGTTGACAGTTTGTGGCTTTATGGCTGAGTCATCGAGCAAAATTTTAAACTTTTATTGTAATAAAAGTGCCATATAACATTCTACTAAGAATCGCTCGTGTCATATCCCATTGTTATGTAAATTCCTCAGTACAATGACTCAATAATCTCACAATTTATTTTCTATACCCTTCTGCAGAAATCATTGCAGAGTTGATCTCGATTTATAAGCGCTCAGGCCGGAACGATACACAATGTAAATCTATACAGCATATGTACTGAAGAGTGGTAGTGTGTATTACTAATCGTGGGAAGGGTATGAGATGGCAGGATGATGCAAAATACCAGCAGCCACAATGTCTGCAGCAATCTTAATTTATTTGACCCTGAAGCGTATGGTTCCAGACATAATGACAACTCAATATCTTTCAATCGCTAAGAATTTAACACCAGCATCATGTTGTAAGTACAGGAAAGCTTTTTAACT